GAAATTTCCACAACGGACCAGGAGAAATAGTTACCAAATTCAAGGAGATAACAAGGCGCAGTCTGTTGGAAGGACGTCAGCCAAGATAACTTCAGACCAAAATAAAACTACGCTTTGTTTCCAGTGTTTGCCAGTACGCAGGTCCAAACTCTTATGCAGTTGTCACACCTGCATCCCTTGAAGAGGATCAAGAGATCACGCCTCTCCCTTATCCTCTCCTCCCTGCATGCTGTAGGATGGATAAGGGATTGGCCTGGGTCCTCCTCTTAACTGCTCAGCTGGCCTCTGCCCTTCCCCAGCCTCCTCCACAACCTCCGGAGCCACACTTCCACTCCCTGTCGGCTGTTCCTCCTCTCCCTCAGAGTCAGTCTCCAGCAGGGGCATGACAGATGGTTCCAGAGAAACTCTTTCGTGAGTTTTGGATAGCTTTTTGCTGCCAATAATGACTCTCCCCATTCTAATATTCACCTGAAACTGCTACTTTCAAAACATCCTTAAAGATCCATCTCATCCTGGGCACCCTTTTTCTGAACTATTATCATCTGGTAGACGGTACAGGATAATAAAAACAAGGACAAATAGGCTGAAAAACAACTCCTATCCCAGGGCAGTAGCTCTTTTGAATTCTGCTGTATAGTGCAGTGTTGGTGCAGCGTCGGGGTTTTCAATTCAATGGGTGGAGTGTGAAGGATGCGTGTTTGTGTTTATTTTCATGGTCATGATGTGCACTGAAGATGGTGCTTGATTTCTTTGTACGAGGTGCAATGATAATAAACTAAACTAAACTAAACTAAACTAAACTAAACTAAACTACTACACGGACCTAACCAAGCCAGTAATCACATCGTAATCAAGAGGGCTGCATGAGAACACATAGAAAAAAGTTATTTCCCCAAATGTTAGCATGTAAGAGGTCCTTCAGAGGTGTTGAATTTGAACTTCCACAGCGTCAACCATGTCCATTATAAGAGCTGGGCTGGTAAGGCCCCAAGTTATGACTGTAATGGAGCCCACCCATCATGGTCATAACTCATGACGGTGGTAAATGGTCACATAACTGACCTGATTCTACAGTTTTCTTTGTGGCATAACTGCACGTCAGAGCTGTTTGCAGCATCCCACACCAGCGAATCTGGGTCATAAGTATCTCTAGGTACATCCATCAGAGCTTTGAACAGTCACTAAATGACCATTCCGAAGTTGGAAAACTCCTTGTAATTCAACACAGGTAGAAGGTCCTACGTTTGGGGAAATTTTCCTTTCTTTTTCCAGCCAGGAAAAACAGCAGGTGTGGTCAGTACCATAGTTCACAGACTTTGAGCACTTCTTAAACTGAGGAGCCTCTTGAAATACACAAGAGAGCGTCCTTTCTGTCTTTTCCTGCTAAAACCGTTTTTTTGGATCTTCTTAAAACTCTATCCCCGAGACAAAACAAGGCCTTTTCAGTCTGCCCTACTCAACTCTGCCATCCCATGTTGACCTTGGCGATGGCCTGGGGAAGAATGACCACCTCTGTGTTCCTTCTAGAGCATATGAGCCCCACAAACAAATACGTCCGTTTGTTTGGGGCCAGGAAGCTGGGAGGGTTTGATAACCTCAAAAAACCACAACACAAAAGGCTGGAATATGCATAACAGTCCAAGGAGGGGAACCACAATGAACATCTCTTGAAACGTTTGATTCCGTCTCTTGGGAGGAGCAAAGAAACTGAAGATTATTTGCAGTTTACTAGCCATGCATCCTTCGGAGCTTCATTCAACCTTACGGTCACACACTTGCCTTGGAGGGTATTTTCCTTTAGATGTTGACTTCCTCATTTCAGTGGAAGGACAAGAATGCAAAGCACTTCAGAATCACCGGTGTAGATCAAATGTATTCAGTCAATTTCTTTTTATTGCAACTGCTACAACCCCTTGCAACAGTTTTCAACGGCTGGGCTAATTGAAGTTGAAGTCCAACATTTCTAGAAGACGTTGACCTCAGTTACTTCTGATTTAAGTCCAAGGTTAGGAAGCTTGCCATCTACCCAGTTTTTGGACTCTGGCTCCCAATTAGTGGACTCATAATAAGTAATTGAGGATGCTAGGACCAAGTGCCTTGATTTGCATTCAAACGAGGAGCTTAGAAATCAAATGTCAAGGTGTAACCAAGAATGTCTCCTATTAACACTTTCTCCTGTCTCAATAAAAGAGAATATTTGTAGCTCAGGGTTGAAATGAGGAGTCCTTGATGTTCTCTGAGCTGGGTTGTTTTCTTGCAGACGTTTCATGACCCAGCTAGATAACATTATGAGTGCCAGTAAGGAGTGGGTTTTGCTATAAGCTGAGAGCAAACCTCACTCCATTTTAGCACTGATGATGTTATCTAGTTGGGTAATGAAATGTCTGCAATGAAACAACCAACTTCAGAGAGCACCAAGAACTCCACAGTTCTCCTCCTCCCTTTCCTCTTCCTCCTTTCCCTCTTTCTCCTCCTCCTCCTCTTCATTCTTGCAAATTTCACTCTCTTCTAGCACTGATGACATTACCTAGTTGGGTAATGGAATGTCTGCAATAACCAAGCTCAGAGAGCAACAACTTATTTCTATCTTCCTGTACAACTTCACACACAAAAATTTTTTTACCTTCTTGATGTGACAAGAAATATTGAACAGAACACTTCAACTTACCTGTACAACTTCTTTCACGAGGGTCTTGTCAGTCCCTGTTTTAGCTCTCTGAAGGCCACTGACGTTCTCCCCTATCCAGGTGATCAGAGCAAACTTGACTCGTTTGCTCATGGTGTCTCCAGTGGTGAACCGGATGAAGCCAAACAACCGAATGTCATCTTGAGAAATAAATATAAATAAAGGAGTGAACTGGAATGGCTGGAGAAGCAAAAGTCAGCTTACCAAATTGGTCACCCGCTTGGCAAAGAAATAACCCAATTCCCATCGTTGTTCACCTGTTTTCATCTAGTGGCATCCAAAACGCATTTTCATCGGTAGGATTCAGGATCTCCTATGAATTATTTGGCGGCTGAGGATTATATCGTATCTGTCATTTTGCTACTTATAGAAGAGGATATTTGTAGCTGGAGTTGAATTGTGGGGTTCTAAGTGCTCTCTGAGCTCGGTGGTTTTGGCTGCTGCTACTTATGTTTTCAAGACTTGTGAACAATCTGGTGCTTTGCACACCACTAAGTCACAATGCAGGTAAAAAAGGAACGGGGTTTTGATTATATAGTTATGGCCAGCATTTTTATTTCTTTTAAACCCTTCCTCAGGACACCTCTGGCCCAAAGTCTGGAGCAGGGTTTCTAAACCTTGATAATCTTAAGATGTGTGGACTCCAACTCCCAGAATTCCCCGGCCAGCATTCTGGGAGTTGAAGTCCACTCATCTTAACATGGTTGAGAAATTCTGCTCTAAAACATCCTCAAACCCCGAAGGACTTGATCTGAAAGCTGAAAAAGGAAGTACCTAGAAGGACGGATGCGTCAGGCGTGATTTGTGTGCGTGTACATGGTGTGTGTTCAGAGAAAGAACTAGAATGGCCAGAGAGGAGCCCCCCTGCCCCCCCCAAAAAAACCCCTCAGGAACTTTCCTTTGTGCAAAATTAAATCAGAATTCCAAGCAAACCGGAAATTGGAAGCAGCCGGGGCAGCAGTAGAAGGAGAAGCTAAGAGAGCATCTGTCCCGCAGCCCAAAGAAATTGATTTATTTTTCTCTTTGCAAAGGCAAAAAGCAAAGGGGAAAAAAAATATGATTTGCAGACAGACAGGAATGGCTTGTCAGTGAGAACCTCAACCACAATCGTTACCATAAGGAGGACTCCCCTTCCTCCCTCCTTTCCTCTCTCCCTCCCTCCCTCCCTCTCGTACATAGCCTTGTTTTCCCAGGCTGGCCCTTTAAAAGTAAAACATGAAAGAGGAGACAACACAGGGTGGCAGGAACAGAAGATGAAAAGCAAGACATGAAACCATTTCATGATGTTTCCTGCTGCAAGCTTACTTCTGTGAGCTGAAAGCAAAAGAAAACAGGACAGAACAAAAGAAAGGAAGGAGTGGAGGCTTTGAAATGCTTTAAAAAAAACCAACAACAACAACCCATTCATGTGGATCTATGACATCTACCTCTCTAAAGGCCCCTTTCACAATTTCTCCTGAAAAAATGGGTGTTTTTTCCTCCTTGTTCTTTGCTTTAATTCATGGCTGGCTGGGGAATTCTGGGAGTTGAAGTCCACACACCTAAACACGGTTGAGAAGTCCTGCTGTAGACTTTGGGCTCGGAGGTGTCCAGAGAAAGGGATTCAAAAATAAGTCGATGGCCACAACCACGTAAACACGACCTATTCACTTGGCTCAAAAGTCCTAATGCGTTGGGTTTTCCCTTTTTTTTGTTTGTTGTTTCTTTTTGGCTTGAATTCATGCCAAAATGGGCCACTCTTAGAAATCAAGAGCAATTAAGTAACTAAGTAAATAAATATGCAGGTTGCAAGGTTTTGCACTTGCTTGGAAGTGACATCACAAGCATGTCAACCCAGACCTTTGCTTGGGTGAAGGTGGGCGAGTGCTAAGTTGTGACTCGGTTTTCTGGATCTGCCTTTCTGTCCACGCCCAAGAACGTTTGAACGTTGGTAGGCAGCCCTCCATTAGTCCGTTAGCTGTTTGTCCGTGTTCAGACATGCTGGGCCTTTAAGAGACAGAGAGAGAATTTCTGCCAGCTTAAAGCGAGGATGTCCCTAGAAATGCGTCCTTTTCCAGCCACAATAAACACCACGCTGGGCTTTGCACGTTTCTTAACGTTGCCTGCAAAAGATTGCCGATGTCGGAGACAGAGCTGCGTTTGGGCACGGATTAAAACCAGTTTCAAAGGTCGCCGTTGAGCAAGAGAAAAAGAATTCCTGGACAACTTGCTAGAATCTGGGCCTCTGGTTGAAAGGAATAAAAGCAGCTCCTGAACCATCTGTGTTTTTTCTTTGAAGGGAGCCCTGAGAATCTCCCAAACAAAAGGCCTGGGAGATGGATGACATCATTACAGTTCAGGGCTTTTCAAACCTTTTGGGGAGGAAAGGGGTGTTGGGAAGTGTTTAAAACAAAAAAACACACACATTTCGAGCTGTTTGGCCTTTCCTCCCTTCCCCTTGGCAACACGAGGAATGTGGGTTGGTGGAAGAGAGAAAGAGAGAGCTCACCTGTACACTGTCCTATAAATTCTTCGTAATCCACCCCGTTGTGTCCTGGGATGATGGTGGAGCCGTCGTACTTAAATGTCACCCTTTGGGAAAGGGGGAAGGAAGAGAAGGAAGAGAAGAAAGGAGGAGAAGGGGAGGAAGGAGATGGAGAAGAAAGGAGGAGGAAAGGGAAGAAGAAGATGGAGGAAGAGGAGGAGGAGGAGAAGAGGAAGGAGGAGGAGGGGGTGAGAAAGAAGAGGAAGGAGGAGGAGGAGGAGAGAGAAAGGAGAAGGAAAAGGAGAAGAAGGAAGAGGAGGAAGAGGAGAAGGAGGGGGAGGGAGAAAGGAGAAGAATTATTCAGATGGTTTGTCTCTAAGATTGCAGAAGTCTTGCACCGCCCCAGCCAGACCCACCCACGTTTTTGCAGAGTGAGACGGCCCACTTCCCGCCTGCCCCAGAAGCTTGGAAGAAGGAGCCTTGGGGCTCCCAAAAGGAGATGATGTCATAACCAAATGTCCTTTGCCAAATCTCTCACCATAAGGTGAGGTTCCTTCCTTGCAAGTGGGACAGTTTGGGTTTCCAACCGAAAAGAGGAGAGCTGGCTGCCAACTTAGCCAACCTGGAAGAAATCTTACCCTCCACCCCGCATGAAGACCTCACAAGGGCCCAAGGCCCATCATCCCCTGTGGGGCTAGCATGGGAAGAGAGGCGTGGCTTCTAATGGCTTCCAAGGCCCATCATCCTCCCCCATTGCGCTAGCTTAGAAAGACTCTTAAAGAAAGCAGTGCAAGATTGGAAGAGGTGGAAAGACCTGGCCCTTAGAATGACCAAGAGTCCACAGGGCCGAATGGATTTTTTCTTCCTCTTCTTCCTCTTCCTCTTCCTCTTCTTCCTCTTCTCCTCCTCCTCCTCCTCCTCCTCCAATGCCTATCATCCCCCCTTTGTGCTAGCTTGGGAAGACCAACATTATGAGTTCCAAGGCTCATCATCCTCTCCCTTGTGCTAGCTTGGGGAGACAACCATCATGGATTCCAAGGCTCATCATCCCCCCCCCGCCTTTGTGCTAACTTGGGAAGACAAGCCTCATGGATTCCAAGGCCCATCATCCTCTCCCTTCTGCTAACCTGAGAAGGCAGGCATCGTTGACTCCCACCCCATCCATCCGCTCCCCCAAAGCAAAGCGAATCCCGTTGAAAGGTCCCCCAATGGACAGATCCTCTTCCCCGGCTCTCCTCCGTCCCTTTCGCTTCAACCCCCTCTCACCACCACCACCACCACCACCACCCTGGACCCGGGCGAGCTGCGACGCTTGGTGGGCTCCTTACCAGTTGACCCCCGTGCTGTCATCCCGCACCAGGTTGTAGGCCCTTCGGCAGGCTTCTTTGTCGATCTTGGTGGCCATCCTCGCCGCCGCCGCTGCTCCTCAAGAGGCGCTCCGGGAATTATTCCAGGCAAGGCGGCTCTGCCAGAGAGGCGGCCCAAGAGGAGAGCGCAAGGGACCGCCGGCTCGTGCCCTTCAACCAGAGAGCAGGCGTGCAAAGCATCCGAAGGACCAAGCAGAGGCTGAGAAGCTGGCGCTGTGCGGTGGAGGCGCGGCCCCCCGACTCCTTCTGCCTGCCTGCTTGCTTGCTGCAGTCCGTCCCGCAGCCTCGCCGGGAAGGGATCGGTCCGAGCGGATCCGGCTTAACCCTTCCTCTGCCGGCTGCCCCGGCTCTGCTGCGGCTTTATGGGTCCCCGATCCGAGGAGGAGGAGGAGGAGGAGGAGGAGGAGGGCTTGTTGCAGGGCCGTCTCCTCCCCTCCCAGCGCCTGGGTTCTCCTGACGCCCCTTCTTCCTCCCAGCCCAGGGAAGGTCTTCCTACCCGGCCCCCTCGCGCTTCTTCCTTCGCCTTCCCTTCTTCTTCTTCTTCTGCAAAAAGGAGAGAGGGCGTGGGGGGGGGGGGGCGAGAATGCAATTCATTCACTTCTGTTCTTCCTCTGGAATTTGTATGGGTCTCTTCCTCTCTCTCTTTCTCTTTCTTTCTCTCTTTCTTTCTCTCTCTTTCTCTTTCTCTCTTTCTCTCTCTCTTTCTTTCTCTCTTTC